GGTACGGTCTTGTAACGAACACACTACAGAGTACAGGTACTAAATAGTAACTAATAACTATAGACCAGGGGTCTCCAAACTACGGCCCACGAACAAGTTATAACCAGCCCGTGGCCCGCATAGGACGCATAGGTAAATATAGATATATGAATATCAGTAAATATAAGACATATTAGTAAAAGCATTAAACTTAGGCAAAAACTTATATTTGAAACACAAATTTCAAAAAAATTTTTTACTCATTTTTTTAATTACGATAAATATAAAAAAACAGGGGTGTCATTTCATATTTTTTCATGGGATCAAAAACCAATATTGAAAATCTAAAATAATAGGTACCAGTTGCTCACATGGTCGCGACATGCAAGGCCAGTAAGCAGGAGAGGAAGGAGAAATTACTGAGAAGTTCATAGATTCTAACGTAGATTTAAGTACACGGCTTCTGGTTTTGACGAAGCGGTTACCCCAACTTAGGTGTTTGGAGTTAAAGTCAACTCCAACAATGAGTTGATAACCTAAAGTGGAAAAAAAAGGTTGTAAATTCGTCAGGTGTAATTTTAGAACCTGGATGACAATAAATTGCGGAAATAACAATGGAGACAGTATTATCAAAGTTGATTTGTACTGTAGAGGCTTGTAAGTAGGATTCAGAGTGCGGAGCTAATGGGTGATGGGATAAATTGTTTTTAACGTAGAATGCGTGGGCGGTACTATCGGGATGACAGGTATGATAGACTTGATACTCGAATATTTTTAAGTAAAATTAAGGGGTAAAGTGCGTTTCAGAGACAAGAGTGATGTCAATGTTTTTGGATTATAGTATTAACTGATATTCATACTTATGGTTGATGAAGCCGTTGGCATTCCAGAAGATTATGGATAGGGGAGAGTTAGGCTTAGTATTCAGAATCATTGTTAAAAACTAGTTTATTGATGAGAGATGTGAGAAGGGTGATTAAAGGTGTGATGAGTGATTGGAGCTCGTGAATGAATGATGATGGTTGATTGGAAAAATTATTGATGGGAGGAGGGTAATTATTAGGGGTATAGTTTTTTTGATTACCTTTGACTGAATTTGCATAGGATTCCTGTCGGTTACCAGAACTGCTTGGCGGAGGGTTTAAGTTGGTCTGCTGGGTGATATCCGAGTTGGTGTGGTTTACATGGCTGGTTGAAGGAGGATTGCTTGAGTGTTGATAGTAGTTGGTTTGAGTATAGTTCTTGAGTTTGGAGATTCTTGACCGCTATAGAATTTTATATTTGATACAACCCTTTTATTTAGCAGGGTGAGCTTCGTCGCATAGAGCACAGGAAGTAGGGGTGTCTTTTGGTTTTTCGCAGAGTTCCGAGAGGTGGCTTTGACTACAGCGGATGCATCGAGGATCTCGATTGCAATAAGATTTGGTGTGGTCGTAGTTCTGACATCTATGGCATTGGGGAAGGTCTTTCCGAGAATGAGGTTCTCCAATTTTAATTTTGGTGAAGCAAAGTGAGATAAGTTTGAAGATATTTGGGTTTAGGGGGGCCGGTTCCAAGTCGACGAAGAAAAGTGGAAGAAGAGATTTGGATTCTTTTGATTGGATATTAGAGATATTTTTTACGTTAAACCCCTTGGAGGTTAGTTCCTCCTTAATGGAGCTTGGGTTTGTCGTTGAGAGAAGATTTCTTATGACAACCTGGTAAGGTTTATCAGCTTTGGCTTGGTAAGTAAAATATTCAAATTTGTTTTCATTTAGAAGATGAATTACTAGACGGTAAGATTCGATTTTGGTCGTTGTGAGTTTTAAATGTTTTGTGGTCGATTTGCACGTGAAACCATTTACACCCGTGATCGATAATATAGATTTGCATCGTTAAAATAAACCGACGTAGTGATGAAAATTGGTGGCGGAGTAGGGGGAGAAATTTTGTTGGTTTGGTCCGTTATTTCGATATTATCTTTAATGTCCGTTACTTTAAATGCCTCCTAGCGATTTGGAGATGTGAAGTTGGATGTGGTTGATTGAGGGATTTTTTGCTCCTTAGATTTTGGAGAAAGTCCCGGAGATGCGAAACTACATTTATTATGATAAGTAGACCACGATTGGTCGTCGAAATCTTCACCGAGTTTGTGAACGTCGCTGTTCGTGTTTATATTGATAGTGAGTTTCTTGTTTATGCTTTTAGCCTGCTTGGAAAGCTGATTAAGATTATTAAGAGACCCATTTGTCCAGATGGAAGATTTATTTTTAATCGCCGACCTTGAGTCGGATATCGTCGAATGGGGATAGCGAGCAACGGCAATTAACTAATGAGCCGATAAGCCGGCAGGCCGACAACGGGGCCAAACGGTCGGGCGCCGCCCGAGTAACAATTAAATGTAACACTAACTTGTTGATTTCGGAAGATCCAAGGATCCGACCAGATTGAAGTAAACGTTTTAATGAAGGTTGAGAATATACGGATGTTTTAATACTTAAACGAAAAAAATCGGAGGTGTTTGACTCGTACTAGTAGTAATAAAATACGCGAAACAACGAAAAATCGGTGTTGTGCTGACAACATACATGACGAGTCTGGATAGTAATGTTAAAGATGTATGTAAAAAATAATTTCGTAGGGCCCAATATTTTAATTGTCTAGGCGCCCACAAATGTTTAATCCGGTGCTGTATGTATCATATGCAATCCAACATTAAATTTTAATATAATAAGCTTATACGTTGATTATAAATTATTATACTGTATTATATTATATGCATTTATATTCGGTGTCAATTGTCTTATTATTGGGTGTCATATATCTCAGGTGTCAAATGTCCTAGATTCATTTTTTGATATACAAAACTTTTTCATACAAATAACTGTTTATTTACTAAGTATTATTTTTTTAATTTCAGGTATACACTTGGGGGTGGGGTTGATGTTTTTTCTCTTCTTGAAGTTTGGCCAAAACTTTGGATCATTAATAAAAAAGTTTTATTTGTATCTAATAACAACATCTGTAAACAATAAATCTCCTTTGCTTTACACGAGTTTTTATTCAGTGAATAGTCTTTTTTTGATACAAAATAAAATTAAAATAAAGTAAAATTAAATGTATTAAAAATTCAAAATCGGCACGACATTCTTGTACTAATATTAAATAAATTACACGTTTACATTTAAAATAGAAATGCTCTTCACCATAAGTTTTTCGGCGTTGTAGTAGTCTAAATCACCTTCTATATCTACTTATTTTCATAGTGAATATGAATAATTATGAACGCAGCTTTTACACACGTGCAATAATTACGTTTAATAATTTTTTAAATTATTACATAACATTTATATGAACTTATAATTTGGAAAATTTTATAATATTGTCAAATATTATTTTTAATCATCTTTCATTTTTATTTTTATGTAGGTAAATATTAAAAACCATATTTAAATTGGTGTGCCACTGAAATTGTGTGCTAGTGTCATAGGTTTCGTCATCATTGCTATACGATAACAATTTGTACATACTTTTAATTTAATCAAGATAAATGCAACAAGGATAAGAATAAAAAAAAATGATAAAAGATAAAAAATATTTAGTTCTGTCAAATGCAAGACAGCTTTTGGTTAGGTCTCGATGATAAAAGAGAAAATGACATTCACAAGTAAGATTAGGCGGAAATATATTTTATATATACAAAAGTTATATATACTATGAGTTTTATGTGACAATCCACGTAAAAGTCGATTTATATATTGTTCATTGTTTTAGACCAAGAAGTCGCAAAAGCGATGATAGGCATCAATACCTCTATCTGTCAGACGGAGTTTCTTCTATTTTCATAAATGTTGCGGATAATAACAAAGAAGCATTTTACTTATTATACATTTTCCTGAGACCAAGGAATTCATTTGCAATGTATTTTATGTTGGATAAGTTATTATATGGTTATTTATGAAGAAAAAATTATTATAATACAATAATTGTAATACTATTGTATGCGTAAGGTTTATCTTATACTGTGATTGGTGCATCCCTTCTTCTTGTGTCCTATTGATAATAGCAGGTAACTTGCGTCGTAATTTTTTAGTACTTTGATTACGAAAATAATTGGGTGTGACTGATAAAATGATGAATTAAATTTCAAATGGAACGATTCACATGAATTATGTCATTAACGTCAATATCTTTTTGACTATTGCGTATCATTTTTATAATTTTGACGTTCTCTATCCTATTGTAATCGAAATTGTCGTTTGGAACGGAAATATCCGTCAATAAATATGATGGATAAGTTTCGTCTGAGCATGTGGGACGTAACTTATTTGTCGTAATATTGCGAATTGTTATCAACCATCTTAAGGGACGCAAGTAACATGCAGCCATTATGATGTCACTAGTTAGTCAGTTAGATATTTATATTTTTTTTTGAAACATTTTTTTTTTTTAGTAATACATCGTAATAAGTTTACGAAACAAAGAAGTATACAACCTATTAAACACATGCTTATCTATAATTTATTTTTAACGAAGAAAATAATTAGATCTAATTTAGTTCAATTGCTCAATCTTAAGAGTTGTCAAATTATAATAACACTAATAACGCTGATGAAAAAAATGGTAAAAGTATCAATTAAGGACATCTGAACATTTGAGTTGATAATTTCTAATGTTACTCATAACGAAGCTGTACATATAGTTCTGAAGAAACAGAGAGCGTTGCTCTTATATTCCTTAATACGGGACGATTTGTTCATCCGTTTACTAATTTGTTTATAACTTGTTCGATTAAACTTTAACTACTATAATTTTATTAATATTATTATTTCTTACAAAGACCAAACTTTTGCTCCAAGCAAAAAAAAAAAAATGTTTGAAAGTAAAAATAAACGTTTAATAGTATTATGAAGTTTTATTCAAAATAAAAAACTTTGTTAATATAATGATAGATATTTAATATAAAACGTATTATAATTCGAATTCACTAATATAATATATAATTACAAAATTCTATTATTTAATATGTAATAACAATACATGCGACATGAAAATAATAATAAAAAATAACAAACGAGTGATGGACGTATTGGACGTATGTGTGAACACACACAAGTGTGTAAGCAAATTAATTATTTGTCCAATGTGATTGAATTTAAAAAAAGGTTATTGTTAAATTTACGTGACAGCAAAAAAATACATATGAAACACATATGAATTTACCTATACGAATTTCGACGTTTCCGTTTTCGCATATATTATCAAATTTCGTCCATACAAAAGTAACGCCATGAATACGCGCTGTCACAGTCACTTGTGAGTGCGAGTGTAGATGTAATATAATACACACACACATATGCATATATGATGTATAAAGTTACACTACGGATGAATGAATACATAGGTATTATCCGGTCGAAATACATGAATATAGGACGAGACGAAATGTACGTATTTATATACACGTATAGACGTATAATTTACTCCGTTAAACTGCAAAACGTTTGACGACAGCGTAATCCAAAGTCGTTCAGGGGAGAAGGATTTAAAAGAGAAAAAAATTACTGTTTAGAAAAATAAAAATAAAAATATTGGTCGAAAGACGGTGTCTGCACAACCGTGGAAAACGTGAAAACGACGTACATTATTTTTATATTTAAACTGAAAAAACCACTATAACCATTATCAATGTATAAACATGTAAATGTGTAAATGTAATGTATATATAATATAGTGTATCCAAATAATTGGTTTAATATGAATGCAGGAAAAAACGTCCGAAAAATAATAATACGAAAAGGTCGATGCTACAGATATTTTGCGGTGGGGGGAGGGTTGGTTGTAGTCAGTCTTCATAATTTGTCAAGATGACAACTGCGGTTAGTGGAAAATTGCGCTGGGCAGGGCCAACACCATGCTAGCTGTACACACTTGGAACACGAGTACCACCAATTGTCTGAACCATGGTGGTGGCGGTGACTGTTGTAGCTGCGTACCGTCCAGGTTGGAGAGCTTCGTAGCCACGTCCAAGGTGGTCCACCAGACGATAAGCAGCGCGACAGGTGTCGGAGCTACGGCGGCTGCAATCCCGGACACTGCGATCGGAGCGATGGCCGTCGAGAAGCGGCTGAACGACGCGAACTGTGACGGATCACCGGTAGTGGCTAGCAACCATCCTTTGGCGATGGACACGTAGGCGAGCATGTAGATCATGACGTTCAACGAGTAATCGCCGGGGCTCAGCGTTGCAACGACCACCGTGGTTCGCAACATTAGCGGTCCGACGGTGGCGAAGGCCATCCAAAACGGGCCATTGGGAATCTCTTTGATCTTCTGGTAGTCGAAAGTCTTGAACGCGACTAAAAAATCTTTGATTTCTTTTGAGTATAAATAGTGGACGACGGTGTCGAAGGGTCCATATTTATTACTGTCCTTAAACTTGTCCTTCCCCGTGGTTGCTGCTCCGTAACAGGGAATTTCACTGTTCTCATACACTATCGTTTTCTGCGCCGTTCCATCGCTTTTGTCGCACATCGTCTCTTTCCACACCGTTTCATCGTGACACTGTGTTTTTTTGCCTTTCGTATCTAAGGTCCACGTCCGACACGTCCACACGTCCACATCTGTTGGCCGTCGATGGCCGGTCAGCTGCAGGCTGTGATGCGGCGTGCTAAGCCACGGGAAGCAACGCAACATCATCACACTGCCCTTCAAACAGTGTACCGTCCTAAGCATTATATATGCTGGACTAGAAGGTCTATGTTTCGTGAATGCAAGAAATGACAACACCACTAGATAAAGCCTAAAAAAAAAAAAAAATTAAAAAAATTTAACGATACGTTATGGTTACGAGAACATTAAGACGTTATACGATTATATTATTATTATGATTAGAAGCAGCATATATTTTATAATTAGTGCTTAACTTGGCAAAATTAAAGAAGGGGGATTCTGTTTGTTTTGAAAAAAAATGGTGTCCCCAAGACTTGTTAAGTGTTATTAATATAACGTAATAATAGTAGAAGGACGCTAAAATTTCTGAAAATTAGTTGGGGTACTCCGTCCTCCTGTGTCTCCCCTCAAGTCAAAAACTGTTTATAATTACTAATTGTACTTTTAATAAGTGATAAACGTATCATTAAATATCCTACTATAAGATATGCATATAGGCCTACACCTAGCCCTGTACAAAAGTGAAGCTATGGTGTTCATTAAAACGAGGACACATAACGACATAGGTCAACATTAGAGACATCCAAATAATAGCGAAGGAGAGTAAAAAAAAAACCTAGGTCTACAATTATACCCAAAACGGTAATTTAAAGGTCATTCGATACAAGCTGCATAGAAGGAAAATAAAACGGCCAACAACTTAGCAATAATCTTACCTAACATATAAGTGTCTCCACACCGAGAAAAATAAGACTACTAGTTAACGTAGTTCATTCCTTATTACTTTATGGAGCGCCGATATGGGCTAGTGAAATGAACACGTATGGTTGGAATGAGATAACCAAAGTGCAGAGGATGGCGTTACGAGTGGCTATGGCGCACCGTACAGTCTCGACAGAGGCCATACAAGTAATAGCGGACATACCACCCATAGAGATAATCGTGCAAGAACGAAAAACCCAATATGAATCCAGCAAACAAACGCAACTGGATAAACCTATTATGGAGGAGCTAAGAATTACCCTGTGACGAATATGGCGATGTGGAGCACACCACATTTAGATGCAAACGATAGAAAAAAGATATTCGAATTGGAGGTGAATATCGAACAAGGGATGAATCCAAATAATGTAATAGAACTAACGACACAATACAGAGAATGGTATAATGCCATACATGGATACAGTCATAGATGGATACATTAATCGCATCTAGAGATCTAGAGCCCAAGAACCTCTAGAGCCCCTCATACTATGTAAAATACAATTACTCTTTTGTAAAACTATGTTTTTGTTTATCAATAAACGATAGAATTAGGGGGGGAGGGTGAAATGGTTGACTCAATGCCACCTTCCAATCACGATTTCAATGTAAAAAAAAAAATGCATATATACAAATATTATGTTTATTACTAAATAATAAAATCAATCACCAATCTACCTAATGCAATTACTGTACATGAGTATGTAGTTTCATATTTTTATATTTCCTATAAATTCATTTGACTTAATTTTGGTTATGTACATAGTATGCAAAACGCACACTTATTTAAGTTATTTTTTATTTAACAAAACGAACAATTAGCAAGACAGGTACATACATAGATACAAAGACTCTTATAACTTCGCTTTGTCTTCTAAGAACTTCGCATTTTCTTTTCAAAAAATTAAATTAAATCAACAATATGTATATGTCGCATCCATATAGCGGTATTGTACGTTTCGCGAAACGGACAACGTTTGCTCCATTTCGCGAAATGGAACCGCGGTTTCTCCACTTCACGTAATTACACAATATGGATAATATTTCGTGAAATGGATACCTAAACCATCATCGACGGAACTTGTTCTGTCATTAGGATGTCCATATAACAAAAATTAAAAAAAAAAAACTTTAATTTCTATATAATATATTTATTTAAAAAAATTAAATTAAATTATTATTTTTAAGTAAATGTTTTACAAATATTATAACATTATAATACTTTAATACAAACTATTACTTATTTAGACAAACTTGTGAGTTATGGCAACGAGAATTACATTTAAATTACCTTTAAAACAAGCCCATTTTTTAGTTTGACATTTGCCTTTACAATAACAGCTGAAAATACCTTGACCTCCAGTTAAAGAAGATTCAATTTCTCTTAAAGATATTTCTTATGTCTTATTCACTTGCTCGATGTTAATGAAATTTAATGTGGCTGGTTGTATAGTTCTAGAACGATACCAACCTTTTAGTATGCTATGTTCAGTTCCTAAACGGTTAAGTTTATTTTTCTGGTCGATCACTACGCCAATAACGTTAGCTGGGTATACAGGACCTTTATCCACCTTTGGAACCGGGATTACAACACAGTCTCCAACTTTAAATGTTGGTATTTTGATCTTACTATCCTATAGCATAATGAAATAATGAATTATTTTAAGTAAATATGAAAATCAAAATTATTTTACTTGTAACATTTTTTTGGCTTGCTTTTCTATTTTTATAGCCCCTAAATGACGCGCTTCCTTCATTGTTATACTCTCCTCACATAAATTACATAAAATTGCTTCGCCGAAGTCCGTTTCCATATAACATTCTGTTACGAAAACATTACATTGAACAGTTATTTTTTCGATCTCACTTTGAATTTCTTCTTTGTAGATTTCTTCTAAGTCTTCTTCCGTTACCAATTTTGTAAAATTTCTATTGGCAAATTAGATGTAGCTAATCCAACTTTCGGATCATTCCCAAATAAAGCCTTATACGGTGACCTACTAATCACACGATGATGAGAACTATTTTTTTGAAATTGAACAAACTGTAGCTCAATTGACCATTTTTTTGTTTTGTTATCTTTCATCCAAGCTCTTAACATATTTTCTATGTCCTGGTTGCTTTTCTCAATACTTCTCTGGCTCTGCGAGTGTCTCATCGACCATGAACAATAACGCAATCTGGCCAAAGTTCTTTCAGTTCAATGATAATAGAATTAACAAATTCCCTACCGTTTCGCTCTGCAGTGTTTTTGGTGCACCAAACGTAAGAAAAATTGTTAATAAATTATTAGCTACTTCAGATACGCGTTTAGACTTGAGAGGACGTAAAGATAAGAATTTAGTACTATGATCTTGGTAATTCAGTATCCATTTGAATTTTCCATCAGGAACTGATTGAAAGTCTACCAGATCTACTTGTCCTCTTTTATTAAAATCTTTACTGATAATTGGTTTATTGACTAACTTACGGTTCGCGTTTTTTTTGAAATTACATATCGCAGGTCTTGGAATAGTGTACTTATTGGCTACAGCTATTCGCAACTTGACATTTCCCCCATGACCAATTTGAATATGATAATCATTTATCCTTTCATACAGTTCTTCATAAGCAACTATATACCTAATATATAAAGATTCACTGAATTCACAAAATATTATTTTATATATTGTAATATTACAAATAATTATTAATAAACAATATTCAAAAAAATAATGCACTTCAATAGATATATAAATATGACGTATATTTTTTATATGTTTACTTAATTTCCTCCTTGTTTCTATCCTTTTGTTTGCTAATCAAGTACTGTTTTTCAGCGATATTCAAAACATTAAATTTTTCCAAAAGATGGTATTCATGCCTCGTTTTCTTATTTCTAATTGTAATATATATAATTTATTATTTTTAAATTTAAATGTTTTGCTAAAAAAATATGCATAATATTTATTATGAAGTACAATAATCTATTTCTGTCGAATTAGATTAAATTAATTCAATAACTTACTTATTTAATTTGGCTTTTATTAAATTTTATATCATTGAATTTATTTCGTCGATACTGTGTGGTTTTTTGCCAGGTTTATCATTATAATATAAATCAAGTTTTTTATAAAACTCATTTTTTTCGTTAAACGACATTATTTTATTTATTTACTAACGAAGTATATAAAATGAAAAAATAATATTCACTATTTTACTTTCTTATATACACTTTGCAAACACTAAACACACACGTATTGAACATTTGTGGCAAAATGAAAACTGGTATTGGTGGGTCGAATTTTCAACGATTATCAACCGATAATAATGCTTAAAAAATAGATAATATCTAGATACAATATTATGAATGTCGTTTATGATAAAACAGATAAGAATTATTGTCACACCAAGCAAACAGCTATATATGGACATCCAAATGACGGTAAACATAATAGTTTGTATTAAAGTACCTATTTGTAAAACATTTTCTTAAAAATAATTGTAATATATGATAATATATAGAAATTAAAGTTTTTTTTTAATTTTTGCTACATGGACATCCAAATGACAGAACAAGTTCCATCGATGATGGTTTAGGTATCCATTTCACGAAATATTATCCATATTGTGTGATTTACGTGAAGTGGAGAAACCGCAGTTCCATTTCACGAAATTGATGCAAACGTTGTCCGTTTTGCGAAACGTACAATAACGCGATATGGAGGCGACATATATATATATCAAAATTCGACCATTTCAGTTGTTTTATGTATATATACATATATATTACAAGATGAGATAATATACTCTACAAAACAAAGTTCTTTTAAATTGAAAAACAATTTTTATGACATATTTACAAAATAAAACTGATGAAATACAAAGTTGTTTTAATTACTAGATTTCATTATAATGTTGTTATACCGTCTTAAGAAAATGAGATTTATATAAGACTAATAAATAGCAAGCTTTATAGAAACGTTTAAATTTGGTAGTGTACTGATGGGTGTAAGCTTATTACAAATAGCCTACAGAAAAATCTATTTGACATTTTTGTTTTTGGGCCATGGATTATACGTGGGCAGGCTTAACTGAAAAAAATCTGATTGCGTCATAATTTATTTAACTCGCTCAAATACATATGAAAGAAGAAATATTATATGAACACTGAATTAGATTTAAACTGTATTATATTCTGTATAATTGTATTCCTGTACTTGTGGTAAAGTATTTATAAAATCACAGGTGCGGCAATGACCCCTCCTAGTCCCAACGGGTGGCCTTGAATATTTTTTTATGACGTTAGAGGTCTTAAATGATCACTTCAGAGAAAAAACTATATATTAATAAACCATTATTATGTAAACAATAGTATTCAAATTCTCA